CCGATGATCATCGTTTCCAAAGTGTGAACGTTGCTTCGTCTCTTTTGGTGCGTAATGCGCGTGAACATTTTTGGTACAGAATTGTCACCGGTGATGAAACATGGATTCTCTATGCGAATATTTAACGCCAAAAACAATGCCTCAGTCTTAGACAAAAAACCACTTCCGACCTCAAAAACTGGACTCCATCCGCAGAAAGTGATGCTTTGCATTTGGTGGGACAGCAAGTGAGTAATTCATTTCTAACTCCTCAATCCACAGCGAACTGTCAATGCAGAGATCTATAGTCAGCAACTGAAACGTTTAAATCAAGCCCTTCATCAGAAACGCCCTTCACTCGTCGATCAGAAAGATGTTCTTCTTCTCAACGACAATTCACGTCTACATATGGCACATTTGACGTAACACAAGATTATGGAGTTGGGTTGGGAAGTTCTCCCCCACCCACCATATTCTCCAGATATGGCACCATCAGATTACCATATTTTTCGTTCACTGTAACACCATCTTAATGGGAAAACGTATTCAAATTTGGAAGGTGTTAAAGAGGACATCGACATGTTTCTTTGCTTCAAAGCCAAATGATTTCTTTAATCAGAGCATTAACAACCTGATTGTAAGATAGAAAAGCATCATCGATAAGAATGGAGACTATTTCATTTAATAAATGTTTTGTTTTGATATATAAGTTGTTCGGGTTTCTTCATCTAAAAAAAAAAAGAGGCGACATTAATTTCTTGACGACGTAATATAAGCAAATGTGTTTTATATTTCAAAATATATTACCGCGAAGGTTACGATGAATATATCTAACTACAAATTTATATAGCTTTTAAAACCTCTTTGATTCTGTGTAAAAGTGTAAACAATGTTTACAACCCAATTATCGTGAAACATTTTTGTGGGGCAATCTCTACAAATCTACAGATGTACAACAGTAAATAATACATTGTGTGTGTGCGAATCAGGAGTGATAATTTTTCTACTTTTATTGTTCAGTTTGGGGTCTAAAAAAAAGTATAAAGGATTTCTCCGTTAAAATGGTTAAAAACTTAGATCACTTTTTTTCCTTATAGCCATAAGCTCCCTAAAGGTTAGGATCTTGTGGAGTATCCCTTAGAACAATTCAAGCTATCAACTATCTAATGAATTTTTCATCATACACATTAGAATTATTTGTCACATTTAATTAGTTAATTAAAGTATGTGATAAGTGTACCTTTATTCATGACTGAATCTAATAATATCAGGTTAACAGCTATAATGATATCTACAGGAAGCAATATACCAGATATACGCAACCAAACATCATTCATGATATTGTACTAGGCGTTAAATATCTGTGTTTTAGTATGTTACAACATGATTAAAGTGTCTTTATAGCTGTTGTTTAAGACTAATAACGTTGGTAAATTAATATGTACCGCCTTCATTGTTGCCGGTGAAGGCTCCGGTAAGAGGACCGATAGCTCGCAAATAAACGTCTTTTAACGTAAAGAAAAGTCCGGGTATAATTTTACATACAAGTGTTTATAGTTGTTATTTTCTCTATTTAAAAGCACCTCTTACGGTCAATATATATATACACGCACACAAACAACATGTGTGTAAATAGATAGATAAAGACAGCGGTTTTTCACATATTATATTTCAGTGTTTAAGATAGTTAGATAAAGACAGCGGTTTTTCACATATTATATTTCAGTGTTTAAGATAGTTAGATAAAGACAGCGGTTTTTCACATATTATATTTCAGTGTTTAAGATAGTTAACTTATCTAACCATAGCACATTTTATACTTTATATGCCAGAGTCAAGCGTTATTCGTTTATAACGGATTTGTTATTATGATATACAGTAATGCAATATTTAGAACGCCAGGTGCACTTTGAAAATAATGCTTATGATATCACTTTAGGCGTGTATAACGATTACTTATTTTCTGTGGCAATAGTATCCTACAATAGAACTGTTGTTATACACTAGTCACACACTTCCAAAGTAAATGTTTTATTCTGGGACTGTGTTTCATGTTCTACATTAATAAAAAAACATCATTGCAAGAATAACTAGTGTATGTAGCAGCTTTTATTGTATGTAGCCATGATAGATTTTTATTCGGTTTTAAGTGTGCTTCGGGCTGTAAAATTTAAACGCGTTTGTAAGTACTGAGGTTGAAAGCTCGCCTGGCAACCAACAAAACAAAACGAATACACCAACGACCTCGCGCATACGCTCTACGACCAGAAACAAGTACTTTTTTCCCCTTCTCTACCGAAAGCTACAATCAGGGCTAGAAGTAGCTGGACTGGCGTGCGTGAATGATAATTGATGGTATAACAGAAAGCGATCCTCCCCTGGAACTAACAAAGGCAGAAAAAAATATACATATATTGCTAAGCCTGTAAACCCGGAAATGAAGTCTCAGTATTAATAAGTGTTGAAGGGTGTGTAACGAAGTTAGTCGCAAAGTGGGCGGCTAAGTCCTGTAATAATACGAAGCTATTATTCAACAAACAACATAAATGAATTAGTGTTCACTGCTGTAAAAATTAAACAGAACAAAATCACAAATATTATAACATTTTAAAGAAAAAACACTTGTATTACAAGTCCATTGTTGTTTCAGGTATTATTGAAACTCAAAATAATACATCAGTGAACGAAATGACGTATTTTATAGTTTGGAAGCAAATTAGCAGCTTGCTGCGCTTTTGTTCTCGGCTGTAATTGCGGAAGTGCTTTTCAAAATGTGGCTTGCCTGTGTTTGTCTATAAATAGCATGTTACTAGTATGTCGTTTCTTACCAGGTCTCCTAGCTGTTACGCCATGTATCTCAGGGTTTTTTGACCCCGTGTACTGTTTGCTTCTGCTCCGAGAATCAATGACGTCACAATGTTAGTTGTATACTCAAGTTTTATGATGCATGATATTGTTTAAAATAATGCTGCCGAAGTACAGCATATCTGTAAATATATATCGTATTATAAAGTTGATTTTAATGGAAATATTTAATAAGGATATAAATTTAAAAAAATGAAAATGGCCTAAATTAGGGAACATTTGTCAAAGTTGTTTTTCCCAACATAATTTTTTATGAAGTAGTTTAACGGATTTATATGCGCTCTCTATCTACATGGCGTTTCTTTCAGTTATTGTTGCATATTTAATCTATTTCTATTAAGCTGAAATCCAATAATGACCTAGCGAAAGCGCTCGAGTTTAGTGTTTTGTAATTGAGCTGAATTTCTTTATAGAGTCTAGCCTTTAGGGATCTCCAATTATAAAATAACAATTCTGGAGTGTAGTGGTCGTTTTTGTTTTTTTTTAATCTATGTGTATCTGAGTCAGTTCCATACACGTCTTGATATCTTTATTCCATTTGTAACTGTAAATGCATTAACAATAAACAAATCAATTTGTACCTTCATTCCGTTTTTACTGTATTTTTGTACGGTTACATGTAACTTTTGTTACATACTCAACGTATATTCTTTATTCTGTGTTGCTTCAATTCTGCCGCAGGCTTAAGCTAGAGTTTGCACAGAATGATCATAACGTTTTCATATGTACTGTCAAAACCTGCTGGAAGAAACCAGTTCGACAAAGGTACAACGAAGGCCTACTTCAATGACTACAGTTACACTTCTTAAGACACGTAGTCGTGGAATAAGTGACCTATTTGCAAACTGGTATTTTAATCAAATAAGTAGTGACTAAATATATATGGCGATGTTGTAAAGTTGTTGGCTTCTTGTTTTCAGTACTCATCTCGGATCTATAAAGTTAACAAAAATACTTAGTTACTTTCACTTACAGCAAAAAACAAACATCAACATGTCTGTTGGTGTAATCTACATAACTTAAGAAAGTTTGTTTTTTACTTTAACGTTTAACTCAAATTAGGCTAGAATTTTTAGAAAATACGTACCTTTAAAAAATTTACATTATCATTTTCATACTAATCTGTCAAAATATTATATAAACTAAGTTTTTTTTACCAAAACTGGCATGGAAGCGATGGACATAAAATATTACTCATTTCACTGTTCGAAATTGTGAAATGTTCTAATGGTGAAATCTGGTTTGAAATGAGATATCTATTTCATAATTTGAATAAAGCTATCAGAAATGAAGCTGTAAGAACCATACAAAAATATCCACAAATGCATGTTTAATGGAGGATGTTTGCCTAAAACTAGACATGTTGCAGTGCGATGGTAATTTCGTAAAGGAATACAGAGCTTACGCGCCATCTATCTTGAATAAGACTCAGTGATCCCTACTCTACATTTTTTTAAACGTTCATTCTAAAATAAATTTGAAATACTTGGGTGAATCGCTCTAGGTGAATGCCACCTCAAGTCACTGATAAGGGGTACCAGTACTAATAAATGTTGGCTTTAACATGACCTAGAGTACTTCGGTGTTTTGAGATTAGTTTTTGTGTTGCAAGCCGTTATATTAAGACATTTTTAGGTGAATTATCAGATGCCACATGATGAGTGTACTAGGCAAAACATAAAGCCACATGTGAATTCTGAATGTGTTTTTCTGCGACATCTCACAATAAACTATTTTTTTTAATACATTGAAAGTTCAAACTAGACATAAACCTGCTGAGGTTAGAAGCTAAAATGTTTATTGAACTTCACACACCTTAGAATAAAAGATAAGTACTTCTTTTCTCCTCTAAAATAAGCAACTTTTTAAAAATGTATTATTAATAGTGATTTATAAAAAGTTTAATAAACAATGGATATTTCAATATTACCATTTTGTTTTGTTTCTTACAAGATTTCGAAATTTACGTGTTAGTGGTCTTTTTACAGCACAGATAGAGATCATACCGTGTAAAGTATGTGGAGACAAATCATCTGGGGTACATTATGGTGTGATCACGTGTGAAGGTTGCAAGGTAAGTATAAACTGGTTTTCTTTAATTAAAAAATAAACAGTAAAAATATTAAAATTAAATTAAAAAACAAGGGGTGCGTCTCACGAGATGCCCTTTAAACCTTTATTGGTTCGTGTGAAAAATACATTAAGCAGAACTCGAAGTTGTGTATATTTTTTGTTATAATATTTAATGGTTTATGAAATAATATTACTAAACTTAATTGGCTCGCGCCATCTATAATTCTTTGTATACTCATATAGTAACCACTTCATCAATTGAAGATTTAACCATTGCCATTTTTTTAGAAAAACTATCTAGAAATTTTAGATGCATACACTGCTACGTTCACAATTATAATATTTTTAAAGTTAGAACTAATTTTTTATGCTTGAATAAAAAGTTATATGCATGAATCTTAAGGGCTTCTTCAGAAGAAGTCAGTCGAGTGTGGTGAACTACCAATGTCCCAGGCAAAAAAACTGTGTAGTAGACCGGGTGAATCGAAATAGATGCCAGTACTGCAGACTACAAAAGTGTTTAGCTCTAGGAATGTCAAGAGATGGTAAGAAACTGATTTCTTTGTCTAATCCACAGTGAGTAAGAATATTGGATAAATGTTTACGTTTGTGTAGGTATTAGGAATTACATTCTGTTCAAATTGAACATATACATTAAATCAAAAAAATATGTGCATGCTGTTTTATTGCCTATATCAATATAATCTGATAATGAAATTTAATCCTTTCCTACTTGGATTTTCTTGTTTCGTTTGATTATCAGTGAAGTTTACTGTAACACGTAAAGTGTTTACTCTAGCTGTCAAGTTTGGAAGAATGTCCAAGAAACAGAGAGAAAAGGTAGAAGATGAAGTTAGATTTCATAGAGCCCAACTAGTCCGTCCTCCATCTCAACAACAAGGACCTCCACAACAACACCCAGCACCACCACAAACCACAGAGACATCGCCAGATAGTTCCGTCTTTGACCAACAGCAGCCGTCCTCATCTAATCAGCATCTACCCTACATCAATGGAGGGTAGGAATTTGCAAAAGAAAAATTAAATTAACGTACAAGTAATTACATGTTATAATGTTCTCGTCATATTTTCTCCACCATATTGGAGATATTGTAAAATATTTTAGTTTTAAAACTTAGTATTTTTCTAATGGATATATTACTGTGGCATTATGACAAAAATAATAATGCTGCCTTGCTGTGGTAGTATATATTTTCCACATATTTCCAAAAAAGTAACCTTATAAAAAAATTCACTTATCACTTGATTATTCGAATTTCTATGATCATTGTATATTTCTTAACTTCATAACAAACTTAACCTAAGCTTGTACATGTAAATATATCTTTTATAATACAATTTGATGCAACTTATTAGGTTATGAAGGTGAAAAGTATCACTTTAAGCTAAATACAATCTTAGAGCAAAGAAAAACAAGGAAAATGAAAAAACAAAAAAACAGCTGAGGTGTCAAATCAGAACACTAAATATATAGAGAGTTTGAAGTTTCATTTAAAATTTGATTTTTGTTGAGTGAATTTTACAGTCAAAATACCTCTTTAGGCCTAGTAGATGATAGGAATTATAGATACAGTTAAGAGTTTTGTGAAGAATATCTTACAGTTGATACTGCATGTACATACATTATCAGTATTATGCATAGCTCAGTTAGCTTGTGGTGATGAGAGCTCTCTTTTTTACTGTAATCCTTATTCTTAACCCCTTTTTTTCTTTTTGTTTTGCTAGGTATGCCTATAATGGAGACCACAGTACCTTTACACCAAATGGTTATGCTTATACTCCCCAAGCCATGACTTTTGACTTGGCTGGAACAGATTTTGTAGACAGTACAACTTTTGATCAACGACAACAGTTAGAAACACCTTTACCAGATACCAATAGGCTCCTCACAACTACAATCCAGACTACTACAATATCAAACAATTCCCATTTAGGTTAGTTGAAGCAGAAGATAACAAGCATATTTTACTCTTTAAACCTAGACACTAAAAATAACCACAATATGATCTATGTAAAGTGGGATAATCGAAGGAAAGCATGAAATCATTTTTATTTGATGCAATGAATGAGATTTTAAAATAAACAAGAACTAACAATTTAAGGCTATTATATAAATGGTTTTGATTCTGTTTTGCTAAAAGAAAAACTGGCATAATGGTATTTTTAAAGAAAACTGTTTATTGAGATCAGAATTTTTGAAACATACATAACTCCATATTGTACAAAGTGTTTATGTGGTTTTAAAATATCACTCATAAAGGCATGTGACAATGAATTCACAACTCAGCATGCATACAGGTGAACTGTATAAATCTATACAATACAGGTGTGGTGATTGAAATCCAATTGCACACAGCTGCTTTTTGAACATCAATTGTCAGGAAATGTTTTTCATGCAGACTGTCCTTGAAAGGACTAAAATGATGGAAGTTACAGGTTCTAGGTTAAGACTATATACAAGATGGCAAGAGGCTGTCCACCATAATTTCTCAATTACAGTCTCTACACGAACAAGAAGTATGCTTCCTGATATAATCATATTGCAGGAAGATACTTTTTTTTTTCCTGATGTACACTGATGATGGCTGTACAATATCCAAGTTGTTTATTCATTCTTCATTAAGTTTCATTATAGCATTTTGTTCAAGAGCAATGTCCCTTGTTGCTTAATAATGTTAACAATGGATGGATATTGGACAATTAACATAATAAGTTGGGAGCTGCAATTTATTTATATCTATTATATGGAAAATAAAATTGTATTTTTTCTAACAACCCCCAATCACATCAGTTGTATCAAAAAATAATAAATTTTTCCTTCTAATTAGAACTTTTTGTTTTTCAAATTTCAGGTTCTATCATCGGAACTAAAATGAAATGATTTCCAAATGATATTTGAATTGTTTACACAATGTCAGTAAAACTCTTCAATAACTTTGAGACTTAAGTTTTAAACTCTTATACACAGTACCTTTTTCACACTATGGTTATGCATAACACTGTAAACATCTTTATTTTGTTACAGATTTACTAGCCAAGACTATTGCTAATGCACACAACCGTACTTGTTTGTACACCACAGACCAGATTACAGACCTTATGAGAAAACCCCAAGATATCTCACTGCTTTTATATTATAAAAACATGGCAAGTCATCTCATTAATGACTTATATTATATATATATTAATGAAAATGAAATATAAGTAAAGTTTCTTTTGTTTTTGTTTATAATTAAAAAGCTTCTTAGAAATATTTTGGTAACTTTTAAGAAATGGCTTATTTTATTTGATGCTTCAACCAGAGTGATAAAGTGCAATTATGGCAAATCACCCATTAACAGAAAAGTTTAATGTTTCAATGACTAATTTTATACTTTCATGATATATATACCTAGCTGAAATGTCTTCAGTGTGTTTAAAAATGCACACTTAACTTTCATGTTATTGCTGATTACATGTATTTTTTACCATTTCCATGAACGATGATACTTATCTCTCTTTTTTTTTCCATATAAATTTTTTTTCAATAATTGGATATTTTTATATATAAAATGCTTTTTTTTATAATCTCATAGTAGTTTTTAAATTTCATTATTAAATGTGTACCAAGTGTTAGAGACCTTCAATCATAATGCAATTATGAATTTTTCAGGCACAAGATGAACTATGGTTGGACTGTGCACAAAGATTAACAGCAATTGTCCAGCAGATTATAGAGTTTGCCAAGATGGTTCCAGGTTTTATGAAACTATCACAAGATGATCAGATTGTGTTACTGAAAGCTGGTAAGTTAATAAGTATGTGAGGATGTTTATGATTTAATTGTTTCTGACACATCATGCCTGTACTTTTTTTATCAGGAAATACAAGAGTATAAATAAAAGTGACAATAATATTAATGATACTGAAAGTTTATGAAATACCAAACGTATGAAAAAGACAAAATATCAGAATTCATGTAACTGTTATAGGTCATAGTCAGGATTAGCTGAGGAAGCGTGTCACATAATATTAGTGACCAAATAGTTGAGTGTAAATACACTGTTCTGGCACACTGTAGGGATAGATCTAACCAACATCATAGTGATTATCAGATGCTGCTGCATATAAACTACTTTACCTGTTGGTGTTAAGAACAAGTTGAAGGGTATTTCTAGTAACAATTTCATATACATTGAAAACAATTGAACCATTAGAGAAAAAATAGTACAGCATTTAAATGTCACTTAAACTATTATATCAGTCATTTTTTTGTTTTACAGGAAGTTTTGAACTCGTTTTATTAAGGATGAGTAGGTACTTTGACTTAAACACTGGTTCAGTTTTATATGGAGAGAATCTTTTATCAGTTGAATCATTCATGACATCTGGTGAGTAAAGAACAAAGCATTTGTGTGTGTGTGTTATTTTTTTATTTTTTGAAGTGTGCACATATGTATATGTCTTATTTTACGAGGTGCTTTAGTAATAAAAAATAAGTTCAAATTGCAAGTGAACTGTCACAGCATACACATTCTCAAGTGATTAAGAAAAATAACTATAGTATTATAACTTACCTTTGTTTTTGTACATTAAGACAAACAAGATTTTTTTCTGCTATTTATCATTTATTAAAATTCAATTAAGATTTTAACTCATAGATGCCTATTAGCATTACTAATCTTTTAACAAACTATGTGAGAATATCTAATTTAATATATCTAAGAATTTCTGTTGATCATAAACTATGTATCATGAATTGGAAAACTGTAATAGAAGATCTTTCAAGAATTTCTCTATCTCCATATAGATACAACTGAAATGAAGCTTGTCAGCACTAGTTTTGACTTTGCAAAGAGTGTAGCAGAGCTCAAGTTGACTGAAACAGAGCTAGCCTTGTTTTCTGCGTTTGTTTTGCTTTCTCCTGGTAAGTTAGAAATCACGTTTTGTAAGCATATCATGAATATGAAAGCTAAAAAAAACAAGCACAAACAAAACATGAATAATTTGTTTTTAGTCCAGTTAATGTTAAGTAATTAATATTTTGCCTGCAATAGAATACAAAGAACTAAGTAGTATAAGACAAGCGAATAGCCTACAGTGAACTGGCAAAAATTAATTAATTATATAAATCTTTGTTTTGCAATTAACAATATCTTCACATGCCTTACTGTTATGTGAAAAATATTTTGATTCATTTTATGATTTGATGTAGTAATTACAGTCTGTTATTGTTCACTTTTGCTAATAGTTGAGTCATTTCCCACAATTTTACAACACCAGCACAGTCTTAAATAACAAACCTCTTCAGTATTTATTCGTGTCTTAAACTGCATGATATACTGAGAAATCATTTGGCTTATAGAGTGCCCTCAACATTTTGGGGACCAAAATATCAATTTAAACAACAGCATGTTGAGAGATTGTTTTTATTCATTATTATTTGTAAAACATTTTATATTGCTGATACTTGATACGGGCAAATTAGCATAACCATCAGATAAAATGCAACATCTTAAATATATTATGAACTGTGATGTCTGTCCGAACATTCAATTGTTTTCCGTTTGAGAAGCTGGACACACAGGCAAAGCTCAACATTTACTTTTGAAATGATGGGAAAATAGGCATGAAATATGTTGAGGCTAAATTTTATTTTGCAAGCAGGATATTCTACACTAAGTTGTTAGGAATTAATCACACTATCATTCACATTTCAAAATGTGACGTAACTTAAACAATAAAAATGTAGATTTACCGTATGTTATTGTTGAGAGACTCTTAGCATGACTGAAATGCTCAACAATTACTTTTCATGATGGGTAGTATAAGTAACTCAGAGCTTTGGCTCTGAGAGACACCAAGAATTAACACACTTAATCTTTTTAAAGTCCATGAAATAATTTAAATTGATAGTTTAACATAAACTTTTCCCATCACTGGAGACGGGTATTTTTGTTTGTATCCCATAAAAGCCAGAAATGAAGCTAGTGAACACACAGTATCATCTGTATAGCCAATCATTCACTCACACATTTTGATGGTCTTGTCTAATTGGTTGATGAAACATGTTCAGTTTCTCAACCAGTAAGAATTTGCCACATTACTGTCTATGCACCTTAAAATAAACTTTCCATTATTCTTGCAGTGAGCACACAGTTTTTATTTTACAATATTCTTATGTTCTTGAACAAGTTTCTGAAAAGTTTACATCTTCCTATACCAAAACTGTATTTCCAATAATACTTACTTCCTATCACACTTTAGCTTTATCCTGACAAAAATTTCTCTTCTCTGTCCATCTAAGCATTAGTAAGAAGTGCATAATGCAACGAACCAAATTCAGAATTACTGCCATTCACACCTCACTCAACCTGAAGAAAACAGAGGTAGTCTGGCCTGGGATTATGAACCTAAATCCTAACTCCCCAAACTGAGAGGCAAGGCAACATCTCATGCTCCCAGAATTACGAGGAGGATGTGGAATAAACAAAGTTCAACCAACAGCACAGGAAGTGACTCTCCACATGTGGAATTATGAGAAGTCCATGATCATCGAAATGTAGAGATTGCCACACACAACCCAACCGGATAGCAAATAGTCATCTCTGAACTGGAATTACGAGGGTGCTCCTACCATACTTCTGGGAAAATCATCCAAGGATATCAGTTGGAGGGCACCCAGCTTCGATCTCTTCTCCTTGAGTACAAGCATCACTCAGGAGGAATACCCTCTGTCCACCGCTCCAGCAAAACCAGAAGTGGGAAGGACTCTCATACTCCACTAGGAGAAATGGGGGGGGGGGGGAGTCCCAAGGAACAATGCTCAGGAGAAAATGGAATAGGTGAACCATGTTCCCTATTTTGAAAAGCAAACTGACTCTGATTAATTCAATTGAAGGGTCAGCAGGGGCAAAACCCCTTTAGCTTTACTCGTGATTGTCCTCGAGTGGCAGTCCAGTAATGTATTTGTTTTTAATTGTGTACCACCCAGAAAACATACAAGGTGGTGTTATGGAACACCCCATCTCAGTAGAGCTCGTTGCTACCAGGAAAATTATTGACTTGTCCACTGGTAGCTAGTGCAGACTTGGAAATAAGCATATCCGACCAGGCAACACCCGCCACAGAGAGGGATCCAAATGATGAGAGAGTCCCTGAAAAGGAAAATACAAAAGAAACTAAACCACTCACTTTTTTTTTTAAGTTGTTAGTAAAATAAAGAAAAATAAACAATAAACTCAAGACCCACTAGAACAGGTCAAAAAGAAACCAAAAGAATATGTTGAAAATGTAGTAATAATGCTGAAGAGAAACCTGCAGTAATCATATAAGACCTTCATCATAATTTAAGAAGTAATAATGGAGAGCTTGTATACGGATCTGGTATAGAGGGCACATTGACATAGGTGGAGAAAGTCACAAGATTAAAACCACTATGGGCGATATAGTGGGGTATAAAGGCTGGAGCAAGCAAGGTATAATTCATATCAATGCTTAGATGGGCAGAGAAGAGAATCTTTTGAAAGGATAAAGCTAAAAGTGTGTTTCGGAATGGACTGTATGATATTTGATTTACCGTGGTAAATTTTTTGTTACTTGTAAAAAATACAGTCAAATCATGTACCCAACAAAGGGCTCTAGGGATAAAACATTCTCTGCCAGTTCTATTCCACAAATTTCAACATAGTACTGTCAATGCAAGAGTTGTGGGCTGTTGAACTTGCCAACCATCTGTCATGAGGAAAATAATCCCATGAACCAATATCCCTTCCTACAGACCTACACAATGTAACAAACAGTAAAGATCACACCTCTGATGACATTGGTGAAACATGTGAAACCCTGTTAAAATTCATAATGATTTCAAAGTATGTATGTGAAGGTAAATGCATTATTACAACAATGTAGATTGTATTGAACAAATTCAATTAAAATTACAGAAATCCAGCTGTAGGCACTTTACCCATACTATGCTACTCGTCCTTTATATATATATATTATATGCATTATTACTTGTCTTTTTACTGTAGAGTTATGATATTAAAAAACTCTTTGTTCAAAATACTTAGCAATATAATTCTCCCCCTCTTTTTAAATATATAAATTAACAATATCAAGGTATTTACAATTGTCATTTTACATTGTTGACAGCTTGATCAGTAGTCTATGTACACAAACATTATTATCACAGCCTTGAGCTTTTTAAAGTAATGATTACCTTGTGCATTTTTAGTTATTATTCTGTAAATGTATCATAACTTTGACCTTTTCTTGTGTGGCCATAATCATACAGCTTTTTCAATATCCAAAGTGATAAAAACAGATATAATGCCATAGAATTATAAACTTATAATAACCTTTTCAGAATGAAAATAAAACTGTACAATAATTTTAATCAAATGCATGCTGGTGCAAAAATAACTTCAAATTTATAAATTACTGCATTTACCAAGTAATTTCTTTTTCACAGATCGTGCTGGTCTTAAAGAAGTACTTGATATTCAACGTCTCAATCAAGCCATCTTAAAGTCACTGAGATTTGAGCTGGACCGCACACACAAGCTACCTTACAAGGGGGATGTCAGTGTATTGGATTCTCTCCTGGCCAAAATTCCGACTCTCAGAGAAATGAACATACTGCATATGGATGCCTTAGCAAAGTTTAAACAGAGTTATCCACACCAAGAATTCCCTGCTTTGCATAAAGAGCTTTTCCCAGTTGATATCTAACCATCATTTCCTGTTTCTCTTTGACTGACTGTCATGGCTAATCTAATTGATACCCAAGACCTAAAAGCTCTTGAATTAAAAGGCCAGTTGGAACAGACAGCACTTTGAACTAACTGTCTATACCAAGAAGGGGTTAAGCCTATCTATGTCAGCATTAAACTGTAGAGAAGATCATTCCTAAACCTTTTGAGTTCTCCCTCTGTTGGATGTGGAGAGAACTTTTAACTTGGACTCAACTATAGGTAGAATGGAGGTGTAAACTGAAAGTGAGCTTCAATATCTACACTTCTAAGAAAAAAAAAACTTGTTTGTTAGGAAGTGTGATATATATTAAGGTTTGATGGAAATCTTCTCTGAATAAGATGTTAAGTTTATGGAATGAGATATTGTATTAGAAATGTATAACATGTAAATTATAGTTAGATGATTTTTGAAATACGTTTATGGATGCAGCCAAACCTACACAAACTTTTCACCAAGGAACCATAGTGGCCACAGAGGCAGAAAGTTGTGTTTCCTCAGATTGTTACATAGAGCAAGATACTGCCACAATAGTTTCTCATGTGGGGGTGGACTGGTAGATCTTAGACAACACATTCAGCTCACTTATTTATGATGCACACATTCATTATTAATGTTGTTTGTAAATTGTTTTATAAAGTTTACCTTAAGTTTTGAAGACTTACTTTAAATCTCGTACTCATCTTCATCATCATCAGGTACTTGTATGGCCCCTTGTATCTTGGTTTGAAGTGGGAACACCAAGGGGTTTTTAGCTGTAGCTCAGGGCACACCTGATTAAACATTGTATCTGCTTACAGATTAAAATATTGAATGTTGTTTACAAATCCTCAGGGGATCTCAAATTATTTTTCATTTTATCACTTATCAGAATAATCTGCTGTGCTCTTGTACTCAGTTCTGTAATAAAGTTGTTTGGGAGTACTGCAGTTTTTATGAGAGAAAAAAAGAAGAGGGTTCTTCCATTAGGGCAAACGGATGCACTGTACGACAGAAAGGTTATTTGCTTCCTTACCACAACTAAATTATATTTTACATAGATGAAGCCACAAAAGGGTTCATAGATTGTTAAAAAATAAAGTTGTCCCAAGAGGACAAGGAAAAGAATGTCGTAGGAAAGGAATAGTGTCTACCTCGCATCTGGGTTGAGAGCAGCATTATAGTGCAATCACTGCCACTTCCTGCTTCATTTCCACAACTTCTATTAATTAAGTTGTGAGTAACTTTCAGATTATGGTCAAGGATATTTTCCATGAGTCCATACTGTTTTGGAGTAACCTAGTTGGCATGGTCAGTTATTTATTACAGCCTTCTGAACTGTGCATAGTAGGGTAGTTTTACATCTATCCCATATAAATATTACTTTGACCACTAGTGTGATACAGGCGTTGAACATAAGACATATTTTTGTAGAGTTTTAATGGTCAGATTTTAAAGGTATCTTGTTATTTGTTGCTGGTGAGAGACTTTTTACTTGAGTTGTCCACAGGCACCTGGAAAGTTTGTGATCCACTGCTTGAGCTTTGCAGGTGCTTGTGTTAAGTATGTAGCAACTTATTAAATGGTTATTGTCAGGTTATAGCCATGGCTGGGTGACGGTGTTATTAATGTTGTTTCCATTAATAAGAATGAACTGCCCTATTAATGTATATTTTGTGTAAATTCTCTTTTTTTGCATTCGTCCACATTTTAACTGGTATTTTATTATTTCATGTTTCCGTTTTGACATTTAAGCATTTTTAAGCACCTACATACACTGCAGTAAATTTTTTATTTGAATATTATTACAAATTTTTAATACTACAGTGCAACATATCTGAAATTATACTCCAAAAAATTTTTCTGCACCTGCATAAACAAGTGGATGATTACCTATAGGAAGTAATTAAGATTAGGCTTCAGAAAAAGGTAACCAGGATAACGATGAACAAATTTGTTTTGTACATAACTCTTCATGGGAAGATGAGCTTTCCAATTACTACACAGTGGAATATATAGCCCAGATTAAAAATCTTTAATTCAGTTTTCTTTTAAAGCTAATACTGTATTGTTATAATTACAATATTTTCATGGAAGCCATCATGGTGGAAAAAATTGAAGAAAAAAATTATCAAATGTAACATAAATAAAATTTTGATGGTAATGGGAAATATTATATCTGACTGTTTTGTAAGAAACCTTCAAGATGACATATTTGTAGTCACTTATAGGTTGTAGAAAGTACAAACTACATTCTTCAGGCTACTTATATTAAGGAGTATGGGAGGTTCCCACAGAGGGCGCAGTGAAATAGAGAAATACAGGACAGAGATTAGCTACGTGCCTTCATGCCCGTTTATAGCATAGAAAGACTTTTGACGTTATTCATTCTAGTGCCAATATCTTTTTACAATTTAAGTAATTATTTGCTGTTTGTAATTACAGTGAAAAACACTGAATTTTATTATCATAGCTTGTGAAGTAATTGGTAAATGACAGTTTGTTTTAAGCAAGAATTTCACGTATATGTATAAAAAAAAATTAATACACTGAACCCACTGTGGGATTACCCGAATGTAGCTCAATTTGAATACTGACTTCATCATTGCCATGAAACTAACAAATGTGTTTATTAACTTGAATATACTTGGGTGGACTTTTTTTTTTATGTTTGATGGTTTGATCTGTTCTGTCCTTCATTGGGGGCTTCACCAGAAATGGAATATGAAATAAAATCGTTATAAGAAGATTACTGAATCCCTGTGTTTTTGATTTAATTCTATTTATTATAAGTCACACAATTACAAGACATTCTAAAATTTGTTCTATCAAATACTCAAGGAAAAAACTTGGTTAATTATTATATATTACTATAGAAATAAAAATTAGGTCCAAGTTTCTCATATATGTTTCTATTTTATAAACTTTACCTACAAAGGATGATTGGTATAATTATTTAAAAATATATATCCCGAATTAAAACGTTTTTCAAAAAGTATGTTAAAAATATAGCATCTCACCTTGAATTTATTCACATTTTATGAAATGTATGAAGTAATCTTAATATCAAAAATTGCTTTCTTTCATAAGTTTTAAAATTACAAATAAGTTTTTGAAGAAAACTCAGTTAAAAAAATACAGACTAATAATACTTTACAGTTTTCAAAATTAAGATGATGAGCAGAAGTCAAATGACTACCAAGGTTAAGATGAACACGTTCTGAGAAAGGGCCATTTTCAGGAATTTGCTGCTACCACACTAGAAATACATATTCAGATCATACAGAATAAATAAGTATTGTAATTAAAGTGATGTATACACTCATGAGAAATTAACTTACCACTCATATTTACTAGTACAAAAATTATTCATATATATATATATATTAAAATGTGCTCTTAGATTAAAACACAAGTTTCTAAACAAAACATTTTAAAGAACATTTTGAACATGAGTAAAACAGTAATACTTCTTAATTTATACACTTTCTATCCATATTACATGACAAAACATTTTAAAAATACAAACACGATTTGACCAGAGATAAATGTTGTTAGGGTTTCCGTTCAGATGTCAAAACATTTTTAACTGTCGGAATAATAATGTAACACGTATTCAATAAGTAATTATAAAGGTTCGTTAACACAGCAACCAATCAAATCTACTGTAACTGAAATTCTTCATAATCAGTTTATGGTCTTTTTATTATAAATATCAAAAACCATAAAATAACCTGATACAAGAAAGCCAAACAGACTTTTCAATGGATAGAGAACATAGATGAGAATTAAACCATAGTACTGTTGTGTCTAGAACAGAAAAGTAGAAAAAGATGAAAAATTGTTTTTGGGCATTCTAAGCAAATATATAACAGATGTAAAAAAAAAGAAGAAAAAAATTAAATCATGGTTCTAGAAGATGATGGTTTGAGAAGAAGCTGACTTCTTCCTCTGGGTAGAGAAAAGTATATTATTTTTAAAGCCTTCCTAACAAAATGTGACCTAGAAGTATTATAAAGGGTTATTATTGCCAGGATTAACATGTATATGATCCATTTTAGTTATTTATGAAGCATGTCTATTAAATGTTCCTTAATATGAATTACAACTAAATGTGAAGTTTTACCTACAAAAAAAATTTTAAATTTGGAAAAGTTCATTGAATAAAATAAGATTATAAGACTGACAAGTAATCGACTGTCATACATCATCTTACTGTGATGAGTAGAGGTGTTACACTGATGGATTTGTTCACAAATGTCAACTTTGAAACTGTGTGAACCTATATTAAAATATAAAGGAACACAAGAAGTATATTTAAAAGCAACCAATCAATCACATTTTTTTACTCTTTTTTTTAAAGACCAATGGAGGCTTAAAATAAAAACTGGATTGAAGGATGAGTGGAGAGAATAGAAAAACTTCTTTTTTTGAAAATTCATTAAGCTGTTCAGTTCCAAGAAAATAAAAAGTAGAAAATAAAACTCTGGCTAATTACATCATGAATCACAGCTGAAATATCAGTAGTGACTGCTTTCAATATCTGTTTATTGAAAAAAAATATTAGAGAATCTTTAACTTCAAGCTTTATAAAGTTGATCAAACTTCTTTAAGACATCATCACAGCTCAAACAGAGATTAACTCTAAAGTATGCTTTTTTTTACAGTGTTTTAATGTGAGTGCTGTTGAAGTGTAGACATTGTTATTTATCTATTGATGTAAACACATAAATATTTCCAACAGTAAATTTAGACCTAGATGACTAATTACCCATCAAATAAGTGAAAGTTTGTTGTTTTCTTGGTGCAAAGCTACACAACGGCAACCTGCACTCTCTCTATCACAGGGAAGCAAACCCTGGATTTTAGCATTGTAAATCCGTAAATTTACAGCTAACCCATCAGGGTTAAAAATGAAAGGCAAAGGATAGAAACTACTCGAATGTTATTGAATGAGTGGGACCCATGTGTCTAGACAATAAAAATGTCATTAATAAATGCAAGCCCCAGTGGTTTTATTGCTATGATCTCAATAATGGCATGTTCAATGATTCTGACAAACAAATTTCCATAATTAGGGATAATCTCTTTGACTATACTGGTATTCTTATATGTCATTTTGCAATGTGATGTTAGTATAAGAGGTTACTATGTCAATAGTTTCAAGTAAGATAATTTCTGGAAGTACATTGGTTAAATTGTGTTGAATAAATATGTGACATCCTACAATAAATATGAGACATCCTACAATAAATATGTGACATCCTACAGTTTCTCAGAAAAAAAGAAACCTTGTAAAAGAATCAAGAGAACATGCTAAAGAATTAAAATGAAAATGGACATAATTTTATATCTTCTCTGTTAAAATTATTCCTAGTACTATAGAAAGATCAAGATTCCTCTCCTTATGTATCTTTGAAAGAACATCAGTAGATATATATGGTTCATCAGAGATTTAAGCATGGTCGTCTGCAGAAATTTTTCCGGGGGGGGTAGTGTGAAGTTGTGAATTGAATAAAGAAAGAATTATGTGTTTCATTTTCCAGGTGGGGGCAAGTGGAGTTAAGTATATCTGAATCAATTCACTTACATAATTTAAGTACTTAGTTTAGGCAACTTTCTGTGGGATCAGAAGAAAAGTTGGTAATAAGCACTTCCTGAAATTGGCCTAATGTTACTTTAGTATAGTGTCCAACACATAAAATAAAGAACCTTTACCAACTGGTTTAATAACACTGTAGTTACCATTCTGAAGTTTCATTGGAGCTTTTTCTAGGGCATTCTGAAAATTAGGACCATGTTTTCTTTTAATTGTTTGTTTAGTTCTTTATCTTTGCTTTTTTATATTTTGTTATTATATTTAATCAAAATGTCTCAGAATATCTTCTTCCTAGCTTATGTTTCTTATTTGTCCTGGACACACCAGTACTCTGGTTTAATTATCTTACACGACCTCCACTCTTTCACACTGCATTCAACAATTTTTTACCAATGATTCCTGTACTGCCTTGACTAATACACTGATAGTTTATTAATTTTTTGCTGATAAAATAGAAATTCTTTTATTTTAGAAGAATCTAAGCTCAAAGTTCATTATAAGTAATCTTGCATTACATTTTCTAGGTTAATTTTTATTTCTGATCTGTGTCGGTAGCTTGCTTTGATCAGAAGTTATTGATAATTAACTAAAGATACCTTTTCCACCATTACTATTAATGTTTTAGTATATATTACTTAAAGACAGCAAAGAAAATAATACCTGCATGTTTGAATATAAACAATTAATAACATTCATGCTAATTTTTTTTGAATTTCTAAACATGAAAAACTTATGCATTTTAAATCATTGTTTTCCACATTATTTATAAAATAAGACAGTGATCAATCGATAAAAACTACATTTGATGTTAGCTCTGTTATACTTGCATTTGAAAATTGTAACTGATTAGATGCAGATCAGTTATTAAAAAAAAGTTTAACTGTATGAAGGTATGTTATACAAAACAAATTTAGATAAGTCAGCTCACCAGTGTTTCTTTCTTTGTTGAAATTTACACAGAACTATTCAAGGGCTACTTGCACTAGCCATCCATAATTTTTATATTCAGAGGGATTTAACCATCTCTTTATAATGCACCCTAAGTGCAAAGTCGGTATGTTAACCACTGGTTTGCTCTCAGTCTGCCCTCAAAATAACACCAGAATATGCTTAATATTAATATCAGAACAATAGTTTGTATTCTTCTTGGTTAGTGATATTTTTACTAGAATACAATGTTTATGTATGATGCATCACTGCTACTTTAAATTTGCAAATAAAAACCTAGGTAAGTATATTTCTCCAAGAAAAATGACAATCTTTAAATGTGCTATTTATTAGTGTCTACTATGTTTGTGTTAATAGTTCTTCAAGTGTTTTCATACCATTTTTTTGCACTTTATGTTACTGTCAACATATTAACTAAATACACCTAATACATGTTCTTGTGCAAACTTAGTATTGAACAGATTGATCCTGTAATTTTTCTTTCAGTTTAGATAGCTCTTTCACATAAAGTTGTTCAGCCACATTTTAACTATGTCAAATTTTGTCATATCTTGTAGCTGCTTCTGTATTTAATTTATTTATATCATTTTATAGTTTCTATTCCTTCCTATGACCTACTTGGTAGGTGTAGAAAAGTATCTAATGAAACTTGCAATTCTGTCACAAAAAAAAACTTTACACTGGAAATTAATATCCTGAGCTTTGGTCAGTGTTTAAAAAAAGCATGTGACATAGAATTTTAATTTGGCATACTCAACATTTATTTTCAGTACACAAGTTCAACAGCAGATCACTATGATCACAAATAATCGTAGTGTATCATGTTTCATACTTTGTAAAGAAAAGTTTTATTAAATTAGCTCACCTACACAAATACATATCTTGACCTTATGTTTCTCTTCTCTCTAGTTTCAAAATGACTTCTTCTGGCTCAAGAAGACCCAATTCATTATGTAAACCAAGTGGTACCTAATCAAATAAATAAACCAAAATAAACAAGAAATATGATTTAAAGAATGAACGTATCTTAGCTGTTGTGAAGATACTTATGATACTTTCACAGAAGCTGAATAATTAAAAAAACAAACTCTTTAAATAATCAGGCGAATTAGCTTAACCCTATTGCCACGGATATCCTTTACTGTGCATGACACAAGGTTTTAGTGTCTTGTATTCAAAATTTTATTAAACTATTTTTTGTTTATGTTATACCAATTAGAAAAGCATAAAGTCTTAGCTAATAATCTATATTTTAATAGTATTCAAGTCTTAAGTTCTTAATTCCACAAGGCAATATTTAAAAAAAATCCTGACTTTCCACTTGTGTGACCCACATGATACATTTTCTCTTAGCTTGTCATCATCCCTATTTTATCCATCACCCCTCAAAAAAAGTACGAAATTAAACATAAATTACTCTGTAAAATTGTCATTGCTCATACAAACCATAATTTTTATAGTCTTCACTTAGCTTGTAATCATCCTTATTTTATCCATCCCCCCTCAAAAAAGTATGAAATTAAACACAAATTACTCTCTATAAAAACTTTATTACTCAGACAAACCCTAATTTTTATAGTCTTCAATTTTGTTTGGTTACAGAGCTATCGATTAGAAAATCAGACCCCTCCTGCCATACCCACCTGTCACATCCTCTCTTTCAGAATTTGTTGATAGCTCTCTCTTACATTTCATTATGTATTACCTATAACCAATAGAAAGTCAAGGTTTTCATCTATCAACCGACGTATTGTATAACATTATGTTCTGAACAGTTAGATGTCAGATTCACTCAGAGTACCAACATTGTTCTCATGAGAAAGTTAATGACTAGCTTGGATGAATTTGTAACGACTCTTGTCGCAAAGTTAGAAAGCGAGAAAAATTTTGAGAGGTAAGGGAATATATCTACTTTTTGCATATTATTAAAATGTAAACAGGGATCCTTTTAGGTTTGTTAGGAATAGATTAGGTAAAATAAATAATAATAATATTAGAATAAAAATGTTTCACGAGGCACACGCAAGCAGCTCATAGGTAATGTAATTCGTTAGCGTAACATGAGCTGCAAATTCTCCGAGTGATTTACAACTTATACTGGCACAGATAGTAGTTAGACACTGTTCAAAGGGGCAATAAACAATAAAATTTAATAATAAATAAATGTATACTGTTACAAACTTACAGTTACTTAGGATAAACGATTCTAGACAAACAAAAAGGTAATTTAGGTTTATTTAATTTTTTTTTTTTTATGGTTACAAGGTTGGTCGATTTGACCAATCCCGTTTTGAGATAGGGTAGAGAAAATAACAGAAAATATAAAGTTTTACTGAAAAAAAAAAGTTTGAAATGTATGTAGGAGGTTTTAGGGATTACACAATGGAAATTGAGATATTTGAGATGAGGATAAGTATTTTTAATTTTAATATGAAAATTAATTTGCATATGGACTCTTCAAAACAAATACTCAATACATTCATGGATAAACCATTATTTTATTTTATTAAAAATACTTTACTAAAAATATGATTTTTTGTATGTGAAAGACTTATAATATTAACTGAAAGACTGCCAATATTGAAAGTCAGAAGTGTTAAATCTAAAGACTTTTAAACGAGTACAAAGAAGTCGCATGGTCAATCAAATTGATTGAGCCCATGTTGAGAGAGTTCACACAACACCAAAAAAAAATCAAGGTGTTTTATGAAAATTTTCTATAAATTGAAAAAATCAATTAGCTATGCTATAAGCATTTTCACCATTATATGTTATGGTAGGGTGAAAAACTAGCTATTACTTCATAGATATAAGAGCTCTCTCTTTTGGCATATATAGTTTTTCTGACCTTTGTTTCTTTGCATCTGGAAAACTTAACACCAGTCAAAATCTTCAAAAGACAAATCTTTAGTACTAGCTGAGCAAATCGCATTCCAATACAGTTCCGTGGCCCTGCACCAAATGGAAAATAGGTATACGGCAAAATTGAATCTTTGTTCTCTGGTAAAAACCTATAAATATATAAAGTAGATGTTTGAAACAACCATAAGTAACAGTCAAAAAAATTTGAATTTATAAGAGTTAACATTTTAATTTTTTACTGTTAACCCATATATTTTCAGAAAATACAAATGAAGATAGAAATTTGAAAAAATTGATAGTGGATGGAGAAAGGAATATAAAAGAAACATATTAAAACTGTTCTAAAATTAAATATTTATTATAAAGGTTTTAAAGATAAATAAAATTGTATCATTTGCAGAATACATAGAAATCCAGATTTAAACTAATTATTTTACAATGCCATGAAATCAAAATGTTTCACTCCAACACAAAGTCTCACAAACCAGTAACAAGTTGCTAATGTATTTCTTCATTTGGAGTATGATTTCCACTTTCTTTAGCCTTCAGCTAGCTCCATATTAGAATTACAATTAATGTGAGCCAGAGGTTTTGCCAGTGAAACTACATAGGTCCAAATATCATACTCATTTTTACAATTAATATTATACCTTTATGGACTAAAGTTCCACTTATTTTCAAGTTTTACTAGGTACACAAACATACAAATTAAATACCTAGATCAGTTAAAAATTCACTGACTGTATTTGAAATATTAGACCTCTAGATTAACTCATAACGCTTAAAAAATAAAAAGATGTATCAACAAACTCTAAACATCACTCAATAAGTTTATACTGTAGCTTTTTCTTCCTAACATTTTTTCAAGTATGAAAAACCAAAAGATCAATATTTCACAGTGTGAAATAAAACTATAAACATACAAGAATTGCTATGCTGGAAACAAAAGAAAATTAAACAAAAACATCAAATATCTTCATTTTAGCATTTCTTTTCTTCAACTAAATGTAACCTTATGTACATAATGGGATTAACAGCCAGGTCAAAGATAATTTATATTTTGGGCATAACTGTCCCTAATTTTGAACTGCCGATCAGAGACAAAAAAACTAGTCAGTACCAGCTTCCACGATTGGTTGTTTGTTTTTATAGCAAAGCCACCTTGGGCTATCTGCTGTGTCCACCACAGGGAATCAAACCCCAGATTTTAGCATTGTAAGTCTCTAGTCTTACTGCTGTCCCACTGGGGGACTTTTCCCTATGAAATGACTAATCTTAACTGAATAGTGAGCTTGATTACTAATCTTTGAATTCACTCACAACTGAGATTGCAAAACCCCAAAAGCTTTAGATCCCCAGTCCAATGACTAACCACTAGGTCATTCTCTGCTGACCTTAATATACTGATTATATCTGTAATCAACATTCTTATCAAATCTGAAAGCCAAAACTCAAGCACTTTTGAAAGGTAGACCTTTCTTCATCAGGAGCAAAATGGTTGGCCCTGATGAAGATAGCTCCACCTTTTGAAAGTGCTTATCTTATAAGTTTTCATATTTTTTACTTTAATTGACTTTTTGAACCTACATATTTTCCTAACATCATGAACAACAGCAAAAACTTATATTCAATTTCACATGATATGAACTTATTCACTTATTCATAACATTTTTTATAGAATTTAGAAGACTACACACAAAGATGAGATAAGAAGTCAGAATTTGTTTTCCTCTGCCCTAAAAAGATAACAAAATTACCATTTCTAAAATGAAAACGCTTGAAAATCTTCAGAAATGTTCTTTATTTCTCACATAATAAAGAGTTTTACATATACATAAAATTTTAATCTCAAAATTTTGTAGTTTCTAAGGCAAACAAAACCAACAACTTTTGTTTCTTTTTAAATACATTGAGATTATTAGCCGCAAATGTGCTTTCCTCCTACGATTAACTGCATAAATTTCAGTGCCATAGGTTGTGCTTTGAAACTGAATGGAAAGACTGTAATATGAGATTTAGTATCACTATATACTAGTCAATATCTATACCAAAAATTTATCATTCTGCTTTTCCTGTTGAAACATGAAACATTTGAAATGGACTCATACAAACATACTAAACTTTCTAATACCGCATGACAATAATAAATGTCTTGGTATTATTTAAGTAACATGACACAGCAAACTATTGAAAGATAAATATCAACTGATATCCAGCTATTACTAATATTCTTTAATGGTAGTTTTGTATATCATTATCTACAAATAATACAACAATGTGGTAATTTTCAATACAGTTACCTGTCTGGATTAAAAGTTTCTGGGTTGGGAAACCACTCTGGGTCATGGTGAATAGCATATATGGGATAGTGAATAATCATGTCCTTTGGAATGACTATGTCAGCATCATCTAAAACATAATCCTCGGTAGCACGTCGCTCTGAACTAAAGAAAAATACAATAATTAGCCAAAAGTAAGAAATGTACATTCACTGAAGACACATTTTCAGAAATAAAACTAAACCCTTGAAAGTTTCAAATAAAAAAAACCACTATTGAAACTTCATAACAATAAACACATCAGAAACTGGTAAATAGTATGGTATAAGAGAATATCATGTAATTATTTAATCTCAGTTTATTCTTTATTCTGAATATGTGCAGGTTTCACATAAGATCTGACCAAGGAAATCATTAAGTTGATCTTGTATCAAGTAATCTTTGTTCTTTTATTGTTCTCGAAGTAGGTAATACCAGTTACAGACCATGGAAGACATTGTTTAACATGACATTGTGTAAGAATGTGAACAGCAGTCTCCTTTGGTGGTTGTTTAGGTGATATCTAGAGGTTGTAGCCCCACCTATGTGGATTGAAAATGACCAGTCACGTGGTATTGCATGTTGCACTGGATAACTGTGAAGTTTCTTTGAAACTAAGAAACCTTGTGTTTGGTAGTCTGGTCTTGAACATCACTGAGGATAGTGTATTAAAACTTGGTCCTCAGTAGTCAGTCCAGTGATCCGTTGAAAGCAAAGGCCTGACATAAGTAAACTGGAAGTGCACACTCCATGTTTGTGTGTAGTATATTAATTAAATATTTTTTGTTTTGGTTTACATTTGTGTCTAGTTTCATTATCCTACTCATCATCGATTCAGTAAAGTAAGTGTTTTATCAGTACTCTGTAATCAACATTCTTATCAAATCTGAAAGCCAAAACTCAAGCACTTTTGAAAGGTAGACCTTTCTTCATCAGGAGCAAAATGGTTGGCCCTGATGTAGATAGGTCCACCTTTTTAAAGTGCTTATCTTATAAGTTTTCATATTTTTTACTTTAACTGACTTTTTAAACCTACATATTTTCCTAACATCATGAACAACAGCAAAAACTTATATTCAATTTCACATGGATATACCACAATAGAACCTTCCAATACACAAACCCAAAACTGACCAAAAATAGTACTTTTAAATGCAAATTACAAGCTGATTAAACAGTATCTTCCAATACACCCACTAACGGGCACACAATATTTTTTTTGAAAAAACAGCTACAATATTCAAATAGCATAAAAAATGTCAATATTCAGATAAATAAATTATACATTTAGACTTATTCAAAATCAAAACAGAAAGTTATCAAGCATACTAATTACACCTGTTATCTTTTCGTGTATGCAAAGAACACAATGTAGTACGAAGTTTCATACTCATTCTTAATAAGATTTGTGAAAGTGAAACTCAGATGGTTTGTACTCTTGGATATCTCAGTTTGATAAAGCTGTTAGCCAAAGATCCTTGGTTCAAGTCCCAGTCCCGGAATTTCTTTTCATTTATCAGCACTTTCACATACAGTGATGCATTTTAGTTTATGGTGTTAAAAACAGCTAGTTACCAGTGTTAGAGAATTTTAGTATATTTTTCTATTGAGAGCAGCAAACTATAGCATGCACAGAATGAAATATAACTATATTAAAACAGGAGATATCAGAGAGATTGCATACCCTCGCCCTGCTGCTCCTTTTCAATATTGCATTTGTAAAGTCAACTGAAGTGTACAACGCATTGCAAGAGTAAATATAACATGATCAATTGCTCAAATTTACTAACATGCCCAATATTTTGCCATAACTTCTTCAGAGAGTCACTTAGTATTCCAGGAAGTGGGGAGAAGCATAATAAATTAGGCAGGAAAAGGAAACTACACAGTTGCATAACCCATAAACAAATTATATTAAAACTGTCAGTCATTCAGTTTTAGTGAACATGAAGTAAAGGATATCGGGACACATATAATGCTTTGGAAGCTGATTATGATAATTTACAAAATTATAATGTAGTACAAATGCTTAATATGTTATGTTAAAACAAATTAAGAACTTAACCATATCATAACAGTCAATGATACCACATTTGGTCATGCTATATCTGCTGACTGTGCATGTTAAAATTCTTGCAGTGTTGTTTCCAAAGCAAAATGACACTATCGTACTGTATCATGTCCAATTTTGTGAAGAAATACACTCTATATTGAAAGTTAGAAGTACTAAATCTATAAAGACTTTAAACGAGTACAAAGAAGTCACGTGGTCAGTCAAACTGACAGAGTTCATGCTGAGAGAGTTAAGAATTCATGAATTATTGTGAGTCCACATTTTTTATTTCATATCAATATTTTACAATTATGTAAGTTTTTCTTTCACAAATGATAAATTGTATTTTTATGATAAACATCACCATTTAAATAAAAAAGGTAGCATAATTGACAATTAGTTTTGCTTTCTAATACACTGAACACGTGTTTTGTAATTAATACCTTTCTTCTTTCTATACTGGATTCTTAGTAATATGTTTTCTTTAAATTTTGTTTAAATATAATATATCGTAATCCTTAGATCCAGATGGTTCCAGCTACATAAGCAGTAATGTGGTAGTGAAAATAGATTAGACAACCTAATGTTCCCTATTAACTATTACTTCTTTAAACACTTATTCTTTATCAAATGTTGCTTTGTTGTAATTGTATTCTCGATGTTCACTTATAATTGAAGATTTGTAAATGTTTGTTCGACTGTGCAACAAACCCTAATTGACGTAGAAAGAAAACCCAATTTTCAAGACTTCACAGATGATCTTTTATGAATTTATGAACATTTCCAATAATAAGGTTTTTATACTTTAGCTACAATAATGACTGATATGTTTCTTTGGAAGCAAAACATTCTTTTATAGTGGTATTTGTTTTCAGTTTTTCAACTCAACCACCTGTAATGAACATGCCAAACCATGGCAAGTTTTTGTGTCAATGATTTTAGACAAGACATAAAACAGCCCACTTAGTTATTTCTAATAAATTTACCTTTTCAAACAAATAAATAAAAATACTAATTGTAGACAAAAAAGCATAACATGACTCATTACTTTTTTGTAACGTCAACAGCACCTATGAATATAACTTCATATCTGAAATTAACGCTATTTTATTAAAGAGTTATATTATTATAAAAAATACAGTAACAATAAACCAGTAGATCAGAAATTGAACAAAAGGATTTGTTGTACTAGCTGGACATATTTACATGCATACTTACAAAATTGCTGGTGGGTACATTCGGAGAGTCTCAGAAATAACAGCATCAAAATAATTCATTTTGCAAACAGTATCATGAAGACATTCGTTCTGTAAAATGACCAGCATTTGCAATCTTTAAATATAATGCAATGAAAAATATTAAATTCATTATAATAACATCAGGACTAAACTTTGTTCCTTTAACATTTTAAGTTCACATTTCCTGTAATACAAGTACAGAAACAATAGAATCCCTTAGTTTTTTTTAGTAAAATTATTGAACCATCTGAGAAAAAAGAACTTAAAGAATATGAAAAATACGAATAACAAAGTTTTTATTAGTGAAGCCAAAAATCATGCAAATGAGCCTGCATGTATATTATACAACTGAGGTTGCCCATTTACTCTCCTCCAAAAAATAATCGAATGAGACATAACATCTTTTGTGTACGTGTTTAACACAAATAAGGAAGAGCCAGAACCATCTGACACTTTAAATAACAATGAACACTGAAATAAATATGATGAAGCTAAAAGCTACAGTTTTGACATTCTGATGGTTTAGCAGAACAGGCAATAAAACCATGACGAACATACTCGCTAAGTTTGTTTATCCCATGGAAAAGACTGAGGTGTATACTTAATGGACATCACAATAATGTATTAATCAACAGAACAAAAGTCTACATGTTGTTCACCAAACATGCTTAAGTTTGGGTAGGAACTTCTGCTCCCTGACAATTTCATGTAGGGTTCTCACCTAGAGTGGACATCCCATAGTGTCCACAAGAATATGTGTAGTGGTTAAAGTCTACATTAATGAATGAACATGAGCTTACATGTTGGAAAGGCTGCCAAATGTCAGAAGAAATGCAACTACAAGATGGTAAAGGAACAAATGTACCAACATGTAATACGAGTCTGGCTTCAGTATATGATGGTAACACAAAAGCAGCTTGGATCTGACTGGACAAGACTGTATCTCATATTGTGTCGTGTTAATCTATCAACTTGCATATTATGGTGGTTGTGAAGCATGTGAAAGAACATGGAGAACATTAGTGTGCTGCATCTGCACATTACAGATGAACCTATAGTACATTGGCTTGACAAAAAATCAGATGTTCAGTCATGGGAAAATAAGAATGCAATTTTATGTCATGTTGATTCACCTCACGAGGAAGAAGAATGATCTGAAATTACTTCTTTGGCTGTCCACAGAGAGCCAAATAAAAAATGGTGGTGTTACAGGAATATGACAGCTCCAACAGTCATCTGAATCACTGCCAATGGCTCCTGATCGATATGACTGGAATTGATTGACTTCAGAAGTTAGAAGAGTTTGTTGATCATAAGATTATTGGGACTAAAAGAGCTTATCAACTCATGCTTTCTAAACAATCAGGCAGAGTTTCACTATAGGAAATTTCCCTCTGATATTGGATGATAGCTGCTTGATTATCGAAAGCTAAGAAATTTATGAGGTTGAAAACTAAATTCCTCTGAGTGAATGTAGATATGCAGTAGTAACATGAACATTGCACTATACTATTCTTACCAGATACAGTATACAGGATTTATTTGACAAATATATTTTAATTTAAAAGTATTTTTGCAGACACAACAACCTCATTTTACAACCTCACATTGTAAACTACACTTGTATAAACATTTTGTTTTGACAATTTGGTGTCAAAACAAATATGTATATATACCTGATTCTGTAGAGCTTCTTTGATCTCCTGTACCAGTTTTTCCTGACACTCTGGGTTAACGGCAATATTGTATAAAATAAAAGACAAAGTTAAGGAAGTCGTCTGGAAACCCACAACAAAAAACATGCAGCACTGTGATATCATCTCATCTTCTGATAGTGCTACAAATAAACACAGAAAAAGTTTATTATCAGCAAAAACGGAGAAAAATGTTGAAAATTAACTTACGAAATTTAATAAATTGATAAATAAGTAGTAAAGTAGTAACATTAATAAATGAAATAAATTCAACATTAAAATATGAAGATTTATAATAAAAAAAAAAGCTTTCTCGGTAACAATCACTAGGTGTTGTATGGGAAATTGAATGCAGTGAATACATGCTACTTAAATTAGGTCAAGCAAAATTGATTAAGTTAACACACCTATGAATGGATTCATTGTTAATCATGTGGAATAAAAATTTTGCTTTCTTAGATACATGAAATCATGCCATTAAATTGGAACCAGGGATAGAGTTTCCAAAATACACAGCTATAACTGGCTTATAAGACAGGCTTTGAACGTTATGAGTCACAGTTATGTTATCAAAATAAATGCTTTGACTCTCTAATTGCCAGTGGATGGAGTTCCCAGAAAAACATCTGTGAAGAGCACAAACTTAAAAGTACAAAGTGAAGTTTATATCGTTAATTTCTACAAGTGTGGGTGCTTGTTGAGTTAAACATTTAGCTCTGTAGAAGGATGAGTAAAAATCACAACTACATCCCTGCTGTCACCAATTAGACCACAAAAAAACATCCTTAACTAAGAATTTGGTGTGTGTGTGTGTATTTCAAGCTGGTTTGAGGGATTAGTGCGCATGCATGACGAACAAGAATTGTCCATCCTACCATGGCTACCTAAGATACTAAAGAAGCTGCAGCCAAGTTAACATAACCAGTCAGAAAGATAGAGAACAAACAATCAATAAGAATTATAATGTCAACTCTATTCATACCTCAAGATGGCACCACAGCATCCTCGGTATCTTCATAAGCATTAAGTGTTTGTTATGTATGGTATTAAAAAGAAAGAAAAAGTAAAAACTAACTTGTTTAAGAGATGAATAGTTTTAAAAAAACGGGTAAACTTAGATTTTAAAATTAAGAAGT